GAATACTGATGCCATGGGTTTGATAAGGAAAATTCCCAAATCGCTAGAAATTTTGCAAGACGGTATGACTCGTTTTGCACGTTGGAAGCTACCAGACGCAACATGGAAAACAACACAGATGTTTTTTTGGGCGTGGGACAGAAACAAAGACACGAAAAAGGAAGTGACACATCCAGGACCAAATAGGCAGAACTATGCTGCTGTCTCTTTCCACAGTTTACCAAAAACATGAGAGGAACAGCAGACGCCTTCTTCTGGGCAGAGCCTGCCGCCCCCTGTCCAAACACTCGGCTTCCTTTGCACTGAGATGCTGACTGATGTGGTGGGCTCTGCTCAAATCCCAGCAATGCCCCCGGCTCCTGCGAGTGACCTCACAGCATGACCACTCTGAGCTATTTCCCACATGGCCACTCTCCCTTTAGAACGTGGGTTTACTCGCCAGTAAAGATCTAAGTCACTTTATCTACATTTGGTTTTGATTTGTTGAGAGAGGGCGGATATGTTGAAGAAGTGCACGTAAGCAGCCCCCCTGTGTACATTACCCACTACAAACGCTTACAGGGGCTTAGGAATTAGGAATGGCCTGAACCTCCATACCCTAAATTACAGACTGGCAAAGGCCAGGAATACTCTCTGAACGAAATGCCCAGCAAGGCAGAAAAAGAGGGTCTCATTGCGGGAACTGGTGGGTGCTGCGGCATTGACCCACATCCTCATGACTCCCACCTCCTCTGCACATGACCTGACCATCACATAGCTTTTAGAGAACCCCTCCCGAAGCTGCATGTCGCACCCCCTCCTCTTCACCATCTCTGTGTTGTGTGACCCAAGGGTATTTCCCACCGTTTTCCATTCGTCAGTGCAGCTCTTCACGTTTGATTGGTGACAGTGAATCAATGTTAGCAGGTTCACACCAGGGACAGGAGGAAAACATCTTCTCAAAAGATAGAAAAACCACTAATATGCCTCCATGGACTTTGGTGGTGACCACCCTCAGTGTGGTGTCACAATGAGTCTGCTGCCTTGTCTGAGTATCCTCAGTGATTGCGATCATTTCAGTGGTATTGTTGCCACACTAACTACATTTTGTGTGTGTATTCATGGGAACTCTGGGCCTATACTGGTAAATGACATTGAAATTATCATGCAGTCATTTCCTCTTCAGCACGACAACACTGCTGGGACATGACTGGAATGTCTGGGGCTTTCTATTAAGATGATGAACAATTTAAACAGAAATTTGGTGTTATGCTAGTGTCTCATCCACAGCCTCTGAAGCTAATCAGGCTCAAAGAACGTCAGAGAGGAAAGTGCACTACCATCAGATGCTAAGCAAATTAGCATTTTCTGTTATCATATTTCATGTTGTCTGACTTATTTAGGTCCAGTAATCACTCTAATCTGAGATGTTTTTCATTCTCCATCAACTGAGAAAAATACCAGGCTTTTAACTTGACACTACTTCACTATGTTTACCGGATAATTGCTGATTTTTCATGATAAGAGGGCAGTGTTTCTTTTTTAAAGGCCTAGCCAGGGACAGTGGTTTCTAAATTAGCCACGACTAGTAACCTGTATGTATGACATCTACTATGTATTTTACATCTGAAGCAATGTTTATTGCAAGTGTCCTTGTAAAATAAACAAAGAAAATAATTCAAAAAGAAAATACAAAAAAGCTGTCTGCTGTGGCAGAGGCTGAGTAGAGGGAAGGGACTAGTTCAAATCTGGGCCTTGAAATCAGTTATGTGGACTTAAAAGATACTGAAAGATTGCAAGGTTAAGGGTAAATGCAAAGGCTTGAAACTCTCATTTCAATGTCCCAATACAAGTTATGTCGCTTTCACACATACACAAAACTTCCCAAAATGTTCTGGATATGCTGCATGTGTAAATGCGAACAGCAGAATATTTTCACCCACACTTACCCCAAAAGTTTTCCTGCCAGCCCCCTAGTACATTTTCCGAGAAAATGCAGTCGGACATATTCAAGACAATTCCCCGCCAGAGAGCGAGAAGGTGGTGGAGATGACATTTTTATCCTCCCACCTGTGCAACCGGTGCAATCTCTGTGCATATTAAGAAACTGTTTTGTTAGATTTTCTGCTCAGTATATGTTCTTTTCTGCTCTTTCATTGATATCCTGAATATGGGGAACTCATAGACTGTAAATATTAATGGACAAAGCCTTAGTAACATCACCCATCTGTTAGTGCAGGGGGCCTTGGAGTCCCCTCGATAGCTGTCACGTGCCGATTGAGACATGAGCTAATCAGACCTATTTTTTTTTTAAACAGACTGTAAACATGTTAATTTCTACTGTAAAAACAGGCAATTTTAATGGGGTGTGTATGTGGCTTTATGTGCGTATGAAGCCAGCCTCTAGTGGACATTCGATGAACTGCAGGATTATGCACTTCTGAATTGGCTTCATTTTTCAACACCTGAGGTTGCTGCTTGGTTGAACTACATGTAAGTATTGACATAAAGGCAAAAATTGTCATCATAGTATCAGATTCGGTTGTCAACCGCCATTTATGCATCATTCTACATCATGCCCTGCCAGACACATCTTTAGTACCGGAGCAAATACAACATAAGCTTGTACATGTATCCAGTTAAATGCCAGAATTGTTTTATCAAAATATGGAAACCAGTGCAGCCATAAGATCCCATGCTTTCAAAAACACAGAACATTACAAATACGAATTTTCCATTAACTGTCAGGAAATATAGATGACTCCATAAGTCACACCTTATTCTTGTAATGCATTCACACATTTTTGTTATAACAAGAAACATTATTTTAATTGTATTCTTTGTACATTTGAGAAAATTGGGAAATTCCAGTACACCCTTTGAGATAATGCAGCTTTACGAGCTTACTTCATTTGTTGTTCGTAAATCCAAACCCAAAAAACAAATTAAGTCATGACTTGTAAATTGGCTGGATATTTGGTGGGTAGAATTACACAACAATGAAAATGGAGCCAAATATTACTCACATAACAAAACAAGTCTACATTGTGATGAAAATCTCATCTCTCTCTTTTTTTTTCATGAGGGTGACACAAGATTACCTGCAGATAATTTACAGTTACCGTCCAGCACTTCCTGCAGGGTTCGACCAAAACGTCATGAGTTTATGCAACACTTCAGCACGAGTGCATATGGAGGAGTCGTGTACACATAAACAGTGATCATGTTTCAAATGATCAATTTTGTGTTATGATGTTTTCATTAGCTGCAGTTAGACATAGACACACTTCTGGGAAACCCATGAGTCACTATGTGTGTTATAGTAGGTGGCCGTTAAACCCACCAGCCCAGGCATGTAGACCTGCATGTCATCAGAGTGTGACCGTCTCTTGAGTAAGAAAAATGCAGGAAGACTTGAAGGCATTCTGGTAAAAACACAATAGCTTGGGAAAGTTCCATGACTAATGAAGTGAAAAATGTTATCGTCCTTTATCAAAAGCCATTTTATTAAACAAACTGTTTTTCTCTAGATTCTTTATCTGATGATTCTAAATAAAGCAGACAGTTCGTCCACTTCCTTCTGTTGGGCAGAAATCCGATGATAATTGCATTTTAACAGTTTTAAGTGGAAAAACTTAACTGATAACCAAAATTGAATTACTTAGGCTAATTAAAGGGAGTTTGAGCAATCAGTCTTGTTAGCAGGGTCATTAGCATGCTAATAATCAAGTATGGTCACATGAGAGATGTTAGCTGAGTCGTTAACACCCCTGGTCGTCTTTGGGTCGCTGGGTTCACATGTTCCAAGGTGGGAGTTGGGCTTCAGTTGTTTTGAGAGACAGCATTGTAGGTTGGTGATAGATGGTGTCTAAGACCACCACCCCTGTTAAGGGATGGTTTTTCCATCTTAACATAGATGTCTTCATAAACACCCCTTTCACACCACACCAAGGGTCTTCTCTGGCCAGGATGTGCACCTTGTCATCTTCAAAGGAGTGTCCTTTGTCCTTCAGATGTTGACAGCAGAATCCTGATTAGTCTCTCCAGACCACACAAAAACATAGCATAGCATAGGAGAGCCAGCGCTTCAGGGACAGATTCTGCTGTCCACTTACATCTGAGGGACAAGGGACACTCCTTTGAAGATGACAGTGTTAACATCCTGGCCAGGGAAGAGGCTTAAATACCTCCACAGTGGCTTACAATTCTAGCTCCGTCCACCATGTTTAGAACTGAACACGTCTTTTGGAGGAGACATTTAATGTCCTCAAGAACTTTACCTTAAGTGCAGTTGCCTTTGGATCAAGTTGAGGTTATCTACACCAGTACCTTGGGTTAGGAACTACAGATGCAAATTAGCAAATTGCTAATTTGGTGCAACTGTCTTTTTTTCATAAATGATCAATGTCGTTGCACACTGTCCTCCATCCAGTCCTTTGTTTGTGGTCTGATTAGGTCTTACAACACCGAGAAAAACACTCAGTTTCAAAATTGATCTCCTTGTGATGTCACAGTGGGATTTGGGTAAAAAAAACAAAAAAAACCCTCCCCTCATGTTTTGTCTCCGGCTGCCATGATTTTCCCAGGGGGCACGCTGACAAGTTGCCATGGAAGCTCAAAGCTGAACTCGTGTCTTCACCGGTCGGCACAGATGTTTCATTCAGACCACAGGGGACTGTTTGAAAAGGTTGAAAAGGGGGATAATATGTCCTCTTTAAGCAGTGATATACGAAACCTTTTCTGTATTTGAGTTGGACAGCACCAGCAAAGGCTGAGGTCATAACAGCAGATACAGCAGGAGAGAGAGTAAACCTGCATAGTGGCCCAGATGAAAATTAAAAGACATATGTCAACAGCAAGAAAAAATCTATAAATCAGTCTGGTGATTAACGAAACTAGGAGCACTTATTGAATGTAGCTCATGTCAACTACAGATCAAGATTTATATCTTAGGCTGTTCTTGAATTGGGTCTTACAAAAATAACATTACTGACACACAAAACTATGAAAACACTCAGAAATAGAGCTGGAAATAATTTGTTTTATTGATTGTCATTTTTACAAAAGCAGCAGAGAATACATACATACGAATTAATACAGTGGTACCCAACTGGTCTAGCCTCAGAACCCACCACCACTTCCAGAACGACAAATCACAACCCACTGAAAACGGATCCACCATCCACCAGTTGAGAACCACAGAACTAAATCACACCCAGGATATGTATATACTACCCTGAAAAAAGGTACCCATTTCTACAATGGCACACCCTGTATTCAGTTAGGGTATTGTACTCTGTATTGATTTGGATCGTTGGATATCTCCTGTCCCACATTTGGGTAATGAAATACAGTAAAATGAGCACAAAATCAAAACATAAGAGCAGGTGTACATCCTATGCTTTGTTATGCTAGAAAAAGAGAATCACAAGGGTTATAATGTAGTATCATTGTAATCTATTGAGTTATCAACACACAAATCGATCAGATGTGGGACGTATTCATTCATGCCCTGTTATTGGTCAGACGTACTCTGGTCTCACTACAAAGTGGTAGGTGTACTCGTCTTTAGGACACGGATAGGCATTCTGGGTTCCATTCGCATTGATATAAGCCATATCCTCCTTGAAGTCCTGAACCTGACAGATATACTTGTCTTGGCACTTCAGCAGGAGCCGGTTACGGAACAGGATGTTGTTGCTCTTCTGGTTGTAGTAGTTACGGATAACCAGCCGTGCTGCAGGGAACGACGCACATCTCAGACCTTGGTTTGAACACTCACGCTGCTTCTTGAAGACATTTGCCTGCCAGCTGACCCTGGTGTCGTTGAAGATCAGGCTGTAGTGGACAGATGTGGTGAAGGACGCGCTGCTTTGACCGTATGGGCTGGGAGTGGGATAATAATAATAATTTTCATAACTCATATATCTCATATTTCTGTAATTAGGTGGGTAACGGGTTGGGACTGGATCTGATCGATCAAACGATGTGCTCCATGCCTCAGAGGTGTAGATCCTGGGTTTGTAATCTTCATCTTCTTTAAACGTCGGGTTGGACTGAAGTGTGCTTAAGAGGAGAACATTAAACTGGAATGCTTTCAACATGTTATCCCGATACATATTTGTAAAGGTGCTGTCGAGGGAAGAGTGAAGCTCCAGGTCGTAAAGTTTCTCTGCAGGAATCATCGGGAATCGGATGCAATTCAACAGGTCAAGTTGGGCTTCTGAGGTGGTGGAGTTGCCCTTCTCTTTGATCCAGCTCTGGACAGTCTGAAGCAGGAAGTATTCATCTTGCACCACCAGGTCTGAGCGGGATAGAATGGCTCCAAGAAGCTTAACGGAGAGGATTTTCCAAGCAGGGGACGTGGTCAGACTTTGGTAGTTCCAGGCCAGATACTGGATACAGTTCTCCTGGAGCACCAAGTCTCCAGTCTCCTCTGCATATTCGTAAAGGGACAGTTGGGTTTGGAAAGAGGCGTCTTCTGGGAGGATCTTAGTGAACAGTCGGCCTGTGTCCTCCATCAGCTGCTTCATCCCAAACCTGGAAGCCATCCAGTGGATGCATTGCGCGGAGGTAAAGGTCACATCGATCTTACGGGTGTAAATGTACCTTTAAAAAAACAGATCGTAGAATAATTATAATAGTTTTCAGAGATGTTTTTCAATGACTTCGCTTTCAATGTAATTCCTGTTTGATAGGAATATGAACTAAATTTTAAATGATGTCATATTTACCTGATGAGGGAGCTAAAATATGGTTTGCAAGACTGGCTGATGCTGACTGTAATACTCGTGCTCTCAACTGAAGCGTTGAAGAAAGGAAACTGCAAGAGGATTATTTTGTGCGTGCACATTTCTGTCTCAGCCATCTCCAGGGTCCCATCCTCTTTTCTGTTTCCAGTAGCACTCTGGACCGAGATCAGGAAATCACAGCCGCTCCCGCTGTCAAAGATTTGGCCGAGCTCATCAGACAAACTGATGCTGTGGTCCAGCTGGTGTGCAGAATCATCGATGGTCGTATTAGTGCCTGGAATCACTACAAATTTGAACGAGTCGTTATTTCAAAGTTAGTTCTTTATCTTGATAGAATCACATATCAATAATAGTTCAATATAAAGTCTTCTTTGCATGTAAGGTCTTACCATCTGTTTCACAAATAACTCCGACATCCTCTTTGTGGGAGCAGTCGGTCAGTCCCCAGCCTTTGAAAGAACATGTGGACAGATAGTTCTCTGTGCCTTTGCAGTGGAGATCATCCAGCCAAATGGGTCCAGATGCTACGAGGTAAAATTAAAATAATAAATGCATTAATGTCAGTAGAAACACAATAATCACACTGCAAAAAGTAAAATCTTGTGTCATAGTCAAGACCACATTAATCGAGACCAAGACATACCCAAGACCAGAATGTTCCGAGACCAAGTCAAGACCGAGACATTTAGGGATCGAGACCGAGTCAAGACCAAGAACAAGGCAGGGCGAGAAAGAGACTGAGACAAGTACAAGAGCCATTAATATCTTGTGTGCAGCAGGTGTGTCCCGGTGTCACTCCCGTAACACCGGGAAGGTTGCAGTCGTATGCAGGTATGCAGGGATAAAAATCAGCCTGTCAGTGATGGTCTTGATTTAAAATCCAGAGTCCGATCTGAGACCGAGACAAGGCCGAGTAAAACTGATTTGGATTCCGAGACGAGACAGGGACCTTCAAAAAGTGTTTTTTAAGACCGGTCTTGAGTCCAAGACCGATTTCGAGAACTACAACACCTGATGTAATCAAGTGTGTTTGACTTATATGTAATGTCATTACGAGAACATTATTATGGTATAAAAAGCACACAAAAAAGGCCCAGATTACTTATAAGAAAAAACATCTGTCAATGCAGCAAGCTAATGTAAATGTTGGATGTCTTAAAATGAAATGTTCTCTATAAATAAGTGAGTATGTCGCAACTTAAGACACTTAAGTAAAATGTTCATGCTGCATTGGCAAACCATTTTCACTGTATCCAGGCCTTTTTGTGTGTGTTTAATATCTTGACATAAGATGTTTATCTGGACTTGTCAGATGAATGTGGCTTAATAATGAAAGTGTAATGAGATATCTTTGATTAGAAAAGGGAAAAAATACACTTGCTAAGATTTGAGTTTGCAGTGCAGCGACCCATTTTGGTGGTTGAATTTGTTGCGCTAGTAATGTTTCATCACAACTCCACACTCTGTACAGTCATTTTACTGCCCCCTGGTGGGGGATAAATGGAAGTGGCAGGCACCTGGTCCGTAGTCCTTCCCAATGACAACAGATTTTGCCCCGGGGAATTTGAGCTGACGACACACCACCTGGGCCTCAGCCATGTCCCAGTCGTCGTCACAGACTGTTCCCCATTTCCCATTGTGGTAGACCTCCACGCGGCCCTCTGAAGCACTCTGTGAGCCAAACAGCCGCAAATCACCCTCCTTCACGTCACCGCTCTGCGGCTCAAAGGGTCTTCCTGTGTGCAAACACAAACACAGGCATGAGATATCAACCAAGGCCACAAGGTTGTATAAACATTTGGATAAGCTACAGCTGGATTTGAATAAATCAGGTTAGAATATGTAAATAGGAGATGTTATATAAATACACGTATACACCAGAAATTAGGATAGAATTAAGCATGAATGAATTATGAATTATTTTTAAGAGAAATAACAAACATATTTTTAGTTCTTAGATGGATTACAATGTGTTTTTGATTACTCACCGAACAGTTTAAATGTGGCTGCCCTTCCAGACTCATGGAGAAGTAGCAGAAGCCACAGACTGAATAAGTTTCGATGTCTGAGCATTTTTAAACACCAGGGTCAGGACTCTGATAGAGGGACAAAGAAACAAGGAAGTGAGAAAAATGCTCCCCAAGATTCTTTACTTACAAGTCAAGATGCATGACTTTGATGCAAAGCAAGAGCCGGAGTAGTCAAACTGTGGCGTTGTTTTCTTACATATATACATTTATACATATATTGTTTAGAAGGAGAAAATACCACCATGACAGATTGGGCCTGCACTTAAACATGTTTTCCAGGAGGATTATTGTTAGATTCTCAATGACTATGCAAAATCTGTGCATTCAAACATGTGCTAATTATAAAATCAAACAACATTACCTTCTCCTCCTCGTCGTCCTGAAGTGTGTTTCCCCTTGCAAAGTCAGAAACCTTTTTAAAGTGCTAGCCAAAAAAAAGGGAGGGCTCAGTCTAGGGTTCACTTCTCCAACTCCTGCAGCTTTCCCTAAGTTTTGTTTTTACACGTAGAGCCGAAAAACTGGGAAGTTGCACAACCGAGTTTGATCCCGTCGCGACTTGTTTGAGGACAATGTCGGATTTTGGTTGTTGAACTAGCGTAGAGAGACAGAGCTGCCATTGAATGAAGCATCGAGACTCAGAAAAAATAAGAATCAAGGTTTTACTCAGCCATTCAACCACAAACATTTCAAACAGAATGATTTGTTTTGCACAGAAAAAAAATGTCCTTCAATTAATGTTGAGTTTTAGGAAGAATAAAAATAGATGAAGAAGAACGTGTTCGGTGTGTACATAGGAATGTTTAACACGGAGCACAAGGGGGGGGGGGGGGGGGCTTTTGAGAGTGTACAGTATGTGCATGAAATAGTCACAGTCTGATTCATCATTTTGTTGTACATTCATTTTCAGAAAAGGCTTACGTGCTGTTGAGAGTCACATTCAGCCTGGGAAACAGATGATCCAACACCAGACATTTGTTTCTAGCTTGCACTTCCTCAGAAATCCAAACAGTACCATGTTTGACAGTCTCGGTTCAAACGTCTTCACTCTGAAGATGATCCTTTAAGGGTTGGAGTTATGTCTCAAAGAGGAAGCAGCGAGTACAGTAACTTCAACAGTCACAGCGTTGTAAACAAATTGGAACAGTGCAGTTGCTTAAAGAGCGCGCCTCTCACTCTAAATGAACTCCAAGCCCTCGTATTTTACATCTCCAATCTTGGTTTCGGGTAAAAGGATGCGCCCGTCGAGTGTGAACGCCATGATGTACGTGGCGATATTTCCAGCGTCTTCTTCTGACTTGAGAGCCAGAACGATCTGGTCGTCCGTGTTGGGCACAAACTTGAACGAGGAGAAACCGTGAGTGGGGTTAAGCTCACCCACTCGGCTTGCCCGGATGTCTATGAAATCGGGCGAGCAGCTGAGGACGAGGTTCGAGGCCCGCCGCTCGTCTGCCGTCTCCTCGTAGCGCTCCTTGCTGGCGCGGCGAGGAAGGAAGAACCAGCGCTGCAGGGTGTCGCTCCAGGCCGATGACTCATGGATTAAATACCCTGCAGAGATTCAGAACATAAACGGTGAGAGGTAAACAAAGAAAACAATAAAAAGGAAGCAGTGGTGAGCGAGGCTAGATTCCGATCCTCACCTGGAGGCTTTATCCCTGCAGCAGACTTCAGAGATTTGTACTTTGGAACCCAGTTCTCATGTTGCACATCCCCTCTGTGGCCAACCACTTTCACCCACTCTGGGTTGTTGTTGACAAATACGCCCTCTGTTGTCGTCCACTCTTTGCCCAGACCGCCCACGTACAAGTGCTTGTCCTTCACTGCCATCCACTCAGCTTTGAACCCTGTCAGGGGAAAGAAGACGAGCAAGGTTCAACGTTCAGAACTGGACTTAGAAGAAGAGTTGAGGTCCAGAGTTATTTGGGTAATGCAGTTAATTAAAGTGACAAATTTGTCCTGCCAATGTTATGACAAAAAAAAAAAAAAGAGTCCACCTGCTTGTCACAGGCTCGATCTCAATCTGCTGCTTTTTTTTGGCTCAATCATTTCTCTTGAATAAATACAGCTAAAAACTAGAATATTCCAAAACTTAACTTGAAATTAAAACTGAAAGCCAAAAAACTATAACAATGGCCACACTGCTGTTGGGAAACTAGTGCACGAGACAGAAAAAAAAAAAAAATCAGCATTGCAAGCAATTTGTTGCCTTTTAACCAACTCTCAAAGACACGTATATGATTAAAATCCAATCATAAAACCTGAGAGTATCAGTCTATACTCCTAATGCTGAAAATGGGCTCTGTACATTATTAGACTGTTATTAGTGATGCATCAATGTATGCATGAATGAGCTGGTTTCAACGTGTTTATATAAAAATGTATGTTGTAGTAAAGTGGTTCCTTAAGAAAGGGTTGAGCCTCTTTTAAAGAGCCACTAAATGAATGTGTGTAAAAACTAATAAAATAAAAAAAGGTTTCCTACACAAATTCAAAGTAATTTTTTAAGAATTGGGGCTGACTTTCTTTAAGTAATAGACACATACCTGGGCTTTAATTACCTGATAACATGACCCCTTCTAAAAAGATATGAGGGGAAATGTCTTCCTCATTGAACAGTTAACAAATGATCTCATCTAACCGTCTTTGTGGCGGTGTCATAATTTATAAGCTTTTCTTTCATATCATGAAGGAAAATCAAGTTGTGAACAGAATGCAGTAAAATGTACAGTAAGAAGTGGAGTGGGGGTATGAAGTAGAATACAATGGACTAAAATAACACGTTAAATGGCAGCATGTTTTAGACCGGGGTCATACCCACCTTTGGCAACACTGCCGTCTCCATCAGTTAGGATGACCCAGGGCACCGCCTTGTCCCCGTCTATGTGGTAGACGACACCCGTTCTGTCATCCACGCTGTAGAGCTTCCCATTAAACACCACCAGCTCCGACAGCTCCATACCCCTGCCCTTCTCCGACAGGTGGCTCTCCAACACCACCCTGTCTGCATCCCACTCAACTGCCACCTTGTCCCCGCTTGTTGACACCAACAGGTACCCCCGTCGCATGTAGCTGAACCACGTCAGCTTCTTCTCACTACGAGAGCTTGTGTCCAGGTCAGCGATGACCCCGATGCGATAGCGGGTGCCCTGCGGCGTGCGCTCAGGCTGGCTCAGTGGGTAGGTGTCGTTGTAATGGGACTCGGGCTGCTGGGAGTCTCCGCGGCTTGTTTTCCAGCTGTGGGGGGCGAAAGAGCGGGGGCGCATACCTGAGCTCAAGTGCATGAAGAGCAGCAGAAGCAACGCCAGGGAGGCGGCCACTGCTACGATGGGCTTCCATTTAAGGCGGAAACGAGGGTCAGTGGTGTTGGCCATGGAAGCCAACATAGGGAGGCCTCCGACAGAAATACGCAGATTATTCATCGGCTCATTCTGCTCCAGTCGAGTGAAGCCTGGGGTAGCAGGCATGGAGGACGGAGGCCTGGTTTGACCTAAGAAAAAAAATGGACAGAGTGTAAATGTGTCTGCTTGAACATATCAGGGTGTCAGAATGAAATATAAAACATTATGAATGTTCATCTGTAATCAAATGAACCTACTGGTTGATTACGGATGGTTACATGTTCTACTAATAATTAAAACAGTTGAAATTGAAATCTCTACAAGGAGCAGAATATTGTTCTCTTGTTAACAAATCTGCAGCAAAACCAGTCCCAATGTTTTTTTGTTGTTGGAACAAGTCATATAGTTCCTTATAAAGCCTCTTATGGAGTCAAATTTAGTGTTTTAAACACTTTTTAGTGTAAAAAGTTTTCCCCCCATAATCCTATCATATAGGGCAGGGGTGGGCCACATGCGGCCCCCATCAACCCTCAACATGGCCCTCAGGTCGATTAAATGGAAACATGAAGAAAACATGACAAAATCTGCATTGAAATCATGAAAACCAGAAATATGTCCATAATAATATTTGATCACTGGTATATGTTGAGTAAATTTAAGACAGACACATTGACTGTAATCGTTTTTGTATCCTACAATTTGGCCCTCTGGCAGTGAGAATGGCCCTTGCTGTGACCAAAGTTTCTCATCCCTGATGTAGGGTTACATTAATTATCTTCAACAGGGTTAGTAAGTTAGTAGAACTAAATATTAGTTTAAAATAGGGCCCGACCGATGTGGGATTTCTAGGGCTTATATTGATATTGGGGTGAGAAAAAACTCTGATAATTCGGCCGATATCTTTCTTAGAGCTTTGTTCGATCAGTAGATATAGACAGATATAGATAAACACATTTATTTTGTTGATCTCTTAAATGGAGTTATTAAACACTTTTGGAAGAGATAAATATTGAAGACAAGATGGTCACTCAACTGGAGAGTAAATGCACATGTAGGTGCATCACTGCTTGACATTCTGGACGTTTATTGTAATCCCTATAACACTCTGGATGTGACAGCCAGCGAGATAACTGCTATGTAACAAAACAAGACTCAAATGAAATGCTATTTGACTGGTAAACAAATCAAGTGATATCGTCACATATCTGTGATCAAATCAGCTGATACTGATAGACACTTGATATGTTAATATCGGCCAATAGATTAATCAGTCGGGCTCCAGTTTAAAGTGGGTGTTTTTAGATGAAACTTCACTCTGGTGCTTTTACACATATCCTTCTGCTCCTGATGTAACAGAGTGTGTGAGGGGAGGTGTCGATGATGCCAACAATCATCTTGGATGACTTCAGGTTTTGCACCTGTTACCATTATCAGTCCTGCGGGTTGGGTAAAGTATTTCTGTGAATACATTTTGTGTTTTGTGTTTGGATAGCCAAACAAATTACTATCCAAGTTACTGTGAACAGCACATACGCTTACTAGCCTGGTTAGCAAAGTATAGGCTAGTGCTAGCTTATACCTTAGTGATCGCCAACCCCCCTTGCTCAACTCCAACTCCACATTCCCATTCGAATATAGTCACTTGTGCGCTTGATAAAAACAAAATAGAGATAGCCAAATGCCAACCTTGAAGCTTAAGAACAGTAATCCATAAACCAAAGGGTGAATTCATGGGTGTTGAGCCCACTTGTTTGAGAGGAGAGTTATGTAATGTCAAACTACTAGTCGGTCCAGTTCAACAAAGTCTTTATCTCAGTTTCAAAGCGATCAGTGTTGGATTGATTGCCAATGATTTGAACTTTTCATTACAAAAAAGACGTGTAATGTCTACCCTTCAAAGATACACAGTAACATGTATCTGGTAACATTAGTCCCACATGATCGTTCTTAAGCAGAAGTGGAGTTGTAGAGAAAGTATACGGACAGGTATAACACCATACACTTTCAGTGTGGAGTGGAAAATGTTGTTACACCTGCTTTGTACTGTGCTGCTACCACAACATTAATAAAGGGTTTGTTCCTGTACACTTAAATGAGCCTAATGTACGAGCTATTAGTGTCCAACAATGAATGAATGTCCCATAAAAAAGTGAACTTCAGTGAAAATCTTTCAAACAAATATTTGTTCAATGCAAGTTATCTGGAGCCAATCCAGATTCCTTTAGACATGACTCTGACCCCAGCCCCCCAGCCCCACTGACATTTCGCTACTGAATCTCAATCTAATCCTACTCACATACTCTCTATATGTTGACTCAAGTCCTCACAGTGGATAGCAGGTCGATCATTCATTCAGCGTATATTACTCCAAAGTACATTTTATATTCAGGCAAGCGCTCAGTCATGTGAGGGTATGCCGGGTTGTCTGACACAAGATAAGAAGCAGGAAGTTTGGGTGAGTATCAGTCTATGGTATCAGGTAGCCACCCATTGGGACCTGTCAACGTGGAGACTGGGAGGAGCTACTAAGGTGACAAAGAAGGGTTAGCGGCTGTGAGCAGGTAAATCAGGAAATTCACAACCAGCCGGCTGATGGGGCAAATACCGCTGTCACAAGCTTTATCTGCATTGTTAAATATGAATGCTGCAAAGGATTAGTCCATCAACAGAGGAAGAAGAGCAATAAGTTCATTATTTAAAGAGCAGACGACTAACACATTGTCCATTAACTTCATTGCATGTTTAACCAATAACTAAACCAACAACTGCTCATTTAAATGCTCAAACAAAACTGATCTAGAAGCATTTTCAAGAAAATATAACGAATATTGGATGTAGGGGCGCAGCTGAGCAAGAGGTCCAGAGTTCAAGTCCTCCGAGGGGGCAGCCCAGGTTCAAATCTAACCTCCTGCTCTTTTTCGGTGAGTCGTTCCCCCACTCTCTCTCTCTCCCCGGTGTCCTACTCTATCCACTGTTCTATCCCAATAAAATGCATCAAAGCCCTACCGACCCTCACCCCCCTTAAAAAAAAGTATTGTTGTTACCCGTTTCTCTCAATATAACATTTTCTGCTCATGTTTTTCTCACAGTCAATTGATCATTTTTGAGGTATCACCTGCTGTTTGGACGAAGAGTATATTTAAGAAGGGCACCAGGATATCTTAAGGAACATTTTTATTTGATTTCATAACTAATAACTAAAAACTATGAAGGCAGACAGAGAAATTAATATAGGGGCACCAGTGGACTAGTGGTTCATCTGTGTGCCCCATGTACAGAGACTACAGTAGTCAAAGCGGGCAGCCCGGGTTCAAATCCAACCTGTGGCTCCTTTGCAGTGAGTCAATCCCTGCTCTTCTGACTCCACCCACTGTCCTGCCTCTCTAATAAAAAGGCATAAAAGCCAAAAAAGAAATCTTAAAAAAAGAAAAAGAGTTTTTTTTTTTACTCCATGTATGTGGTAAAGAGTAAGTTAAACAGCCTAAAACAGAAAAAAAATAGAATGAAATTACACTAACACAAGACAATAAATAATCGAATGACCATGCAAGCAGAAGGTGATCAAAGATCCTATTCACAACACTGGGGGACTGTATGATGCATGCTTCATCACCCAATGTGACCTGACCAGGCGGCTGTTTACTACACGAGCAGGGTCACCACCAACACCACCCGGCTCTCTTCAACATAGAAACTGTGTGCAATCCACTCCCAACCACATTCCAGGGGGACCTCTAAACTCGGCTCAGGAGCTCCGCTCTCTGTGGCCCAAACACGGCTTCCCTGAGAGGAGCTCAAAGACCCCTTTATAAGAGGGCCTCGAGCCAAACAGCCGTCCATTATTGCAGCAACATCTGGGTCGTTATGATGAAATCAACTCTCTGTGAGTTGCACCAACAAGCTGCTCATTGTAATGAACTTTGAAGGGAGCCTTTTTCAGCCATTGCCACCTATTCTAGTTTGTAACACTTCAATAATTAAACACACTCACCCCTTCGTCTCCTCCTGCCAGAGTTCTGACTTTGTGTCATCACATGTACCTCTCTGTCTGTCAGAGTGGACCTGCACAATCACTCCCGAGCTTTATGCTCTTTCTTTAGTTGCAGTGTAACCATGACTAGGGGTTTGTTACGATGAACTTTAACTAGAGTTGGAGGATTATCCTCCAGTCCAAAGGGTCAAACCTTGCAGGAGACCATTCATTAAGTTTTCATTCATTACAGCAACCTTTGAACGGGCAGGTACTACAGGTGAGATAAGCTTTTCTTACCTGCACATTAATGACTCAGGGAAAGGCAGCAAATCCTGCAGGCTGAGTAGATGTTATAAACAAACAGTTGGGCATTTCAAGAGTTTGTATACTGGGGGTGTTTCTGTGATGTAATCTGAGTTCTGTGACTGGACCGAGGCCAGAGATAAGGCTGATTACAACAGCAGAGCGGATGCACTGTCAACAGGGAAGCTACTGTAGAGGGAAGAACACACTTACTTTGAATTGTAACAAGAACTGAAGAAGCTCTTTCAGGGCTTCAACTTCAGAGAAGGGCATTCAAAACTTGTCCTCTTAAGGATTCAAATAGTTTACATACAGAATGATGCAAATAACTTTATAAACACTGTCGGGTGTGTGGGGATATGATAAAATACTCAAAGAGTTTTAACACTGCAGGTCACACCTACACATTCACACACTGATGGTAGAGGCTGCTGTGTGAAGTGTCCATCAGTATTAACTAATCCATTTGTACACATCTACATGCTGCCAATGAAGCAGGGAGAGCAACTTGGGGATAAGTGTCTTGCAGAAGGTCACATCGGACATGTGGCTGCAGGGGCTGGGGATCGAACCATCCACCTTTCAGCCGACTCTTCCACTGAGCCACAGCTGTCCTAGATTGCCACAAATGTTGTGCTGAGTTGTGATTGAAATCCTTGGTTGCATAATACGACATTGCAAAGGTACTAAGAAGGCTGATTGTTTGATTAATTCAAGAATATAAACTATCACTACTAAAGTGTCAACCAATCGTAGTGCAGACCACTGTCTGCATGTGCCGAAGAACACAGTGCCACCATAAAGGAAGACATATGTGGAGGTGTGTCTCAAAGGAGAGACAGCAAGGAGGCTCATAAAGACTTACTCATTGCTGTAAGGCAGATTCCCGAACTCCCCCCCCCCCCCAAACAGATGTGCATGTTACATCGAAGCTGCTTTTGAGTAGAGTATCACATAAAAAGATGTTGTGCAACTTATTGATGAACTACAGTGATATTAGGTTGAAGTTGTAGAAACATCACAGTGGCTGTGGAACAATCCCAACTTGATATTTGCAGATATTCATTATGCGCATTAGCTCAGCTTTACAGAGCTGCATTAACTACATTTATAGTAATCAACAGATTGTTCGTAGAGTTGCTCTCATTTCAGTGCTATTTCACACACACACCAACATGTCATTTAGTTGTTGAGAGCGTGTGTGTCATTTCGCTGTTGTCCAGCAGCGCAGAGGTTAACACGGATGCCTTCACAACCCGCTGCGTTCAGAAACCTTTTTGACTGCCTGACCTCTCGTGTTTTCGCTTCCTACTCACCGTGGGGGTTAGACGATCAGCTCACAGTCCGCTGCTGGTTGGAGAACAGGTGACATTGTTGTGTCGCTTCCCTCTTCGGCTCTTTCTTGCTCCGTTCCCCGTTGACCAGACAGCCGATCATGACTTCCTGTATGTACTGATGACGACAGCAACGACGTGACGTGTAAGCGCTCAGTGGATACGATACGAGAGGATTTGTCAAGCGGTGCCTTCAGGTGCAGCCGAAAAATTTGACAACTATAAGTTGATGCGTTATTCACTTACAGAAACATTTACTCCTCTGTGGATTTAAGTATAAAGCATTTTTTGAAGTGGCTTTGTCCTCTTGAGCTGTAAAACTTTTAATGTGTGATATGTCTTTTAAATATCACAACAAATAAGTGTGGTGTGATTGGTGACTAATAAAAAGCATAAACACACACAAAGCCATTTTTAAGTGATTTATAACGTTTATGAAACTCCATTGAGGAATTGTATTATGTAGTGGATTGTAGTGATGTAGTGGATCCCAACCTATCCTAAATGTGAGACAAAAAGGGAACATTCAGACACTTATTTGAGGTTGTTTTTTAAAAGGGAACTGCTCCCCAGACATTACATTCTAATAAAACATCTTTGTTTGCTACTATGTTTACATGTGTAAATATGTTATTGTCTGTCCTGAGGTTTTCAAAGCGTACAAGTTCCTCAACATTCATCAACACAATCACTATTCAAATATTTGCCAAGGGAGCAACACCCTACACCGAGTCCGGCTTTGTCTTTAGAGGAGGATACAAATTAGAAGCTGACTCAGCAGTTGAAAAAAAAAAAAAAAAAAGGTATTTTATTTGGCAAACCCTGTGTGATACAGAATCATGTATAAGGCACTTGAATGGGAAATGATTGTAAAGCCATTGAGTACAACAGTGAGACTGCAACACGTGTAAAAGGTACAGCTACATAGTGAGAAAGCTGAAAAAGAAGTCAGCTAAACTGTCGATTTTGATTGTCGAGATAATAAATATACTATTTTACCCCAATGTCACTGAAGTCCTGAAATTAATGTATGGCTGAAGCATTTGCTGAATTGGATATTTCCAACTAAATATACTGCTGACTGCACTCAAGAAAGACACATTAGACTACAACAGAGGTAGCTGATACGAATTAATAAGTTTGGCTACCTGAAAACCAAAAATATTTAAAATATAAACCCACTTTAGCACGTTGGATTTTAAAGAATAAAATTAACTATCTTTGATCAGATATTGGCAATCAACTGCCCAAAAGAGATCAACAGTTTTTTTCAGTGCATAAAAGCAATTTTTCAGTGGTTGATTATTTAAAAAAAAGAAACATAAACATGCCGTTACAGTAGTTACAGAGAGGAACCTTCACAATGCAACCGTTGGTTAAAAAACAATGGCTGTGTTTTGTGGTCTGTATCGACCCATCACTGTTATTGAACAGCTGTATATGAATCTGAGAGTGATAATAAAAAAACTTCATTAATCTAACAGTTACACATTCAAAATTCAATTGTCAAACTTAGTTATTTCTTAGCAGATTTCCCATCAACAAAGTAAATTGTGTCAACATATTCACTGCACTCATAAATTTAACAAAAAGGGGGCACTGAAATAACTTGTTGGTTCGGTGCAAAGACACAATTGGCACACTAATCCTTTCTTTTAGCAGGCAAATTCCCAAACACAAAATATTTACGTTTCCACCTGCTGTGTGTGAGCAACACAGAGAACCCCCCTCCAAAAAGTTCCAAAACAGAAATAAAAAAAACACATAAGTGCACCCAAAGCAAATTCTGCAGGAAGAAATTTGGAGTGCAGGGAACAGTGCAAGATGTAAATGGAACCATTGGCAAGCATCTGGATTTAAAACTCCCCTGTTGGATTCACATGTATGAATCTCAGTCCATCAATAAGCTGGAGGCTGGTACTCCCCTGGTTGATCCTGGCTTTGGGTGAAAGGCGACTGCTGGTAGCCTGCGGGGCCGCTGCTGCTGGGGTACGGAGCAGGGGGGAATGGGGTTGAGTGGTCATTTGCTGGGTCTCTGTACTCCTGGTCAAACTCACTGACGCCCTGGCGGTACCTTCCAAAGGCGAAGTAGGACAGAAGAGCCTGTGGAGACAATCAGTAGTTGGAACTTTGAGATGACACACGAGGCAAAGTTTAGCGTTATCATATGATTTTGTTAGTCAAATTGTCAACGTGGTGAGAGTCTCACCCATGTGATAATTGAGAAGAAGGAGAAGGCAACGACAGCACGCGCAGCATCGCCAGGGAAAGAGGAGCCAGTGGTATTGGACCACTGGTTGGCCAGGACACAGAAGCAGATGAACCACAGGAATGTCCAGGCCGCTGTCACATGTTTTAAATGTCACATTCATAAACAGAAAATAAAAAATAAGAATACACGTAAAGCAAGTAAAAACTGTGATGAACTTCCTGTTTTTGGGCACACTTCCTTAATTTGAAAATGAAAAATGAAGAGTGAAATCCAATTCTTACCTGAGAAGACTAAATCTCCTGTAACAATGTACTTTCTTTCTTTGGCATTGCTAATTTGTGGGAAGTAGGCATCCAGTATAAGGAAGATAACACAAGCCAGGAATGCCAAGATTCCGATTCCCACCCCATAGCTACAGGCGCTGTCGTTACCATTAAACATGCACTTGGTCTCGACCTCGGTTGTTGGGTTGACATAGCCTTCTGCTGTGATGGTTGCAAAGACCACGATGGAGAACAACTGCAACGAAGGGTACACATAGGGTTAATGCCATGGGGGGGAGGCTGTGAAAAATGCATGTTTTAAGTCAAGCGGCGTGTGGGGCCACATGATTCTGATCACATGATTCACATCACAAGAATGCTTGACCATATAAATTATATAGCCTATAAAAAAAAAGTACAAGATCAAAAGTGGGGCAGATTATAGATGTGTGGATTATATGTGTGTCTCTTTTCGTGCCTGAGGATCCCACTCATCCCTGAGATCCTCCGATGACCATATAGGTGACAACGCGTTTGTTATAAGGGCTCATTGTAATTACATGCTAATAGAGACAATGGCAGCAAAACATGTGTCTTCTTTTGTAAGGCGCTGTCAGTAATGAAGTATTTTTATATTGTCATGAATACATGATCATGCATTCAGCACATCGACTCAATCTAAAAGGTGTGTTACATTGAAGAGTTGAAAATAACTTTGCAAAGTAGTGCAGAACAATAGATGACGTCACGTTATTTCGTACCTCTCCAACTTTTCAGACTTAAATAAAAATCCAGATATCCAATGAGAGACAAACTCTTTGTAGCTGTCGTTTCAAGAAACAGTAACCATCAAAACGTACCTATGAAGAAATCCATTATATGTTGCAAAACTACCAGTAGGTGCTGTGACACAGCACTGAGTGTGTAGCTAATGCTAGCTAAGGAAACATAACCAAATTAACTGTTTTTGAAACTTTTAATTCTAATTTAAATTAAATACACCGTGAATGTCCAGTGTTGACTGTCAACACAACTATCCATCTGTACCACTGACTACTTTGTGTCGACCCTGGCAAACCCACATATGTTAACATAAACCTTGTGATGTGACAGCTGCTAGCTTTGATGCTAACCAGACATCGTTTCCGTGTACTGACTCACCCAGCTCAGGCATCGCAAAATGGTCTGTGGCTGTTTTATAAAACTCTCTAAGTCAAAAGCACCGCCAGCCAACGAGGCACCGAAGGCACTGCTCTGCATTTTTTCCCCCAAAAAAGTGCCTGTCAAAGGAGTAAAAGACCAGCTGCAACCTCCCTGTCAAAGTTGAGACTGTTTCGTTTTGTCATAAAGTTTCCGCCCCTGCTCTGATCGTCCACGCGCTTCATCAAAACTTACTAGCGTCTACTTCAGTAAACACGCGTGTATTCACGGGCTGTTGGAATAATCGGGAAACGAATAGTGTCCGACCGTGAAAATGCACTCGAAGGTTCACCAAAGTAGGAACATAAGTCGGAACATTGGAAAACGTCGTCAATTACCCTACCTAGTTTAGTTCCAAAAAGTACGACACAGAACACATTCAATATATTTAAGTAAACACGCAGAGGTCGCGACAACGAAATTCGCACATGGAAACTCCGAGCATCCAAAGGAGCACGTGAATGCATGAAAAAGTACCTTTTGCGATTTCTATTGTTTCCTTTAGCAGGAAATATCAAGCAAAAAAAAAAAGTATCTGGATGTCAAACAATGATAATACCTGGGTTTATATCATCACATATCATCATATTTAACAAAGATTAATACACATTATGAAGCACATGTATCCTTACAAAACACTTTAACACACCTGGGAAAGAGGTAGAGCGATAGAGAGATAGACCTATCTTGCGCGCACAACTTGTGGGCACAAGTTATTATGGTTTTGTGTGCGAGATTTTAACTTTTTGGGACTCCAGGGGCTCCATACAATATAAATGACAAACGGTGTATGCTTCAATGAAGCAAATGGTGTTGTGGTTTATTAATAAAACAATTAAAAGCAAAATAGGCCTATTTGAAATTTTTATCGATAATTTCCGTTTGTCTGGCTTAGTAACTTTAATTGGACAGACTTTTACTGAATGTGATATTTACAGTCTAGGATTTTACCATTTCTGGTTTTCCATTGTGTCGCCGTTTCCATATACGGCCACTAGATGTCAGTAATGAACCATAGTTATGAATACCAATTATTACACTGCGACTGTTTTTTTTATCTTTCCTTTATATTTAACGATTGTAATTTCTTGCCATATTTTTGTACTAATTGAGCCAAGTCCTAGGAATTTTATTTTTGCCCATTTTGCTAGCAGACATCTGCTATATTATTTCCACGTTTCTATCAGTGGTAGCAGCTTTTTTCCAACATTGTTTCTAAATATTTATGCAAAAGTGTCATTGGACTGTTGTTCCTCACACTGACCACTAGAGGGAGTTATAGCCTACAACTGGGATTCTGAGTTTAGGCAGGCCAACTGTGAGCTCTCCTGTACTGACTTAAAGAAAGGCATGTGCCACCAATTGCAAATAAGGCACAGCTGTGCAGAGAGAGTGAGAGAGAGCGATAAAGGAAGTGTTAGTGCACTTCGGCTTACAGTCAAGATCAGACTGACTCACTATGTCAGATGTAACCCACTGCTGTGTGGCCCGATATGTGATGCTACATATGTAGTTCATGTCTGGAGATCATCAAGAACCATGGCACAGATTGTGAGCTTCAGTTCCGACATTTCTCAAATGGACTCTGACTATGAGTAAGTGCTCTTCCTTCACCCTTATGAACATACCATCTATACTTGGGTTCTTAGGTGATTCCTGTATTTAGCAGCACTATGATAATGTAACTTTTACCAAGAACTTACATTGCAGGAACTTCCTTCCTTCCAATAATACTAATTTCACATTTGATTGTAGCTGTTTTTTGTATTCTATCAATAATTCACACATGTTTAAGTCTATCTAAACCTTTTTGGAGATTTTCTAGCTGCAGCATGTTTGAATGCTCAAGTCACATGTTAAAGCTTCTTGTATTACACTTACATGTTTCTTCATGTTCATGGTCGGACAAGTCTCTTAAATTGACCATAAGGTGGAAAAACGATCAAAGTTTTAACGTGACTTCTATACTGTATCTACTGCTGTCTTAAAGGTGCTTAAAGCAACGCCTTTGAGACCCATGCAGGGTGATTGTTTTCTGATGGATTCTTCTCCTTCAGGAACATTTTGGAAGATGAACTTGGTCAGGACTCAGCAACCAGCACCCAGAGGTGTCCTGAAGCCCTACAGATGGAAGTTTTAAGGCAATGCACAGGTTCACACAACCTTTATTATGTATCGTTAGTTTGATCCATTGATTAAACAGCTAGAAACATTTGCTGTTGAATAAAGAATAACTCTTAAAGTTCCTTCAAATGCAAGTTCCAAACAGCCAAGGATAAAGTTCTCTGGCCTGAAACGATTTCTAATGTTTATTTCAGACACACGGTCAACCACAAGAAGCCACATGAGAGATGAGACAGTCGATAGTTTGCAGAGGAACTCTCTGCAGAGGAACTGCTGGTCAGCTGCTACCCTGAAAGTCCTCTCCTCAATGCCTAGTCGCACCGCTGGTGAGATAAGAAACCTCCCTGTTCTGTCTCAACTGTTTGTTGACAACTAAAACTACTGAAGAAAGTACCTTGTCCACACAGGGCCAAACAGCGCTGCAGTTATTTCCAGGCATGACAGAAACTCATCTCAGCTACACAGACGCCGAAATTCCTTGAAAGTTTACACTCAACCCTCCAGAATAATCCAGGATATCCTTGTCAATTCAGATGTGGAGGAAATCAGTGCTGAAGGTGAACAGAAAATGCTAACCTACTAATTATTTGTGTTTGAATGATTTCCCTCGCTCTTTAAATTTAAGGATTACAAGTCTTTTTTTTTACAGAGAACAAATTTGAGCAGTTGTTGTCCAACCTCAGAGGCCTCTCAGTGAGTGACCGCATTCGCAAGCTGCGAGCCACGGCGCTCAGCCTGAAAGACAAGATGGAAGTCAGGTACATTTGTCACTGAAACTACAAACAGCACGTAAAATGAAATATTTGAGAACAGTTTTATTCAGTTCCTTTGCATATCTTTTCTTAGGCGGCTTGCTTTCAGTGATGTAGCTGAAAGTTCACTCATCAGCAGAAATATTCCGTGCTATAGTCGTATGAAGGTCTACATTTCCAGGGTGAGTACACACTCAGTATGCTGCATGATAAACCCTCTTCTGTTTGTGCATATTGCTCTTTAACTCTGATGCTGTTTTCCCCTTAGACTTGGCGTAGCTGCTGGTTCAGCTGCCTCTCCGTCCGTGCTTCCCTTCAGTTGTGGCATTCACCCATGAAGAAACTGAGCGGACGTTTTGGAACAGGAGTGCTCTCCTACTTCTTGTTTCTTCGGACCCTCCTGCTCTTCAACCTCCTCCTCTTTGTCACCAACGGCCTGTTCCTGGTCTTCCCTCAAGCTGTCAACCCTCCCTCCCCTACTCCTTATGACACTTTCACTGGTCTCGATCTTCTAACAGGCACGGTAAGATCAGAAGAGCACATATTGATGGGATCAACAAATGGGACAATATTGTTGGAATACTATTGCAATTTTAAATAGCTCACCTCAGCTTTAGCCTCTGGGAGCAATGGACAACTTGTTGGGGCTTCCAGTGTTGCCAGCAGTTAGCAATAAAATACTTCCGGCTGACTTCCTTGTCTGTACATTGCCTTTGTCTTCAGTCTGTCTAGTAACTGAAGGCAGGAGAATAAAGTCTGGTCTTAGAGCAGTTTTTGAGCCACAACTCTGAGTGATCCATTCAGAGCCTCCAGAACAATCCCTTAGCTGTGCTTGCGTTCAGTTTTTAGAGACTAAGAAAAAGCTAAATTTTCTGGCTATTTGGATCCAGTATAGTTTTATTTGATGACATCCTGAGTACTGTGATAACATATAAAGGGATTTATTACCCCATTTTCACTGCAAAGTCTGCCCCCAAATGAAATATCTTTCAACATCTGTCCGTACAGCAGTCTACATAGTTCAACTTTACTATTATTACAGATATTTAATTTTTGTAATTGGCACAAAAAGTCGAGGGAGCAGCTCCTTTAGCAAGGTGGGATTTGGAAGAAATCATTTCTTAAGCTGCATCCTCTGGTGATAAATAATTCAGCAAAAAAACCTACATTTCTCTAGGGTACACTTGAGGCTGGCTGCAAGAGCCAACGAAACCCTGTCAAATGTTTAAATGCTCATGAGATGAATATGTTTACATCCTGGTATTAAAATGGTTTTGGTCTCATTTGCGATTTCAGTAATCATGCACACTGTATTAGTTTTGAGACTACTGAAATGTTTTGCACAGTCTATGGAATTTCTATATGAAAATATCTATATTTGGCATCTGGGTCACACATATCCCAATGATGCATTATGAGTGTTACCGTATTTTAATTTTTTATTTTGCCATCCTGTATGTGTTTATTTTAGTGGTGCTCTCTCAAGCCAAATCTGCACCTTTTGTCCCTGGCAGGGTTACCTCTCTCAGAGTTTGATGTTTTACGGCTACTACACCAAAACCTTCATCCCCGACCCCGCTTGTGGAGCTGCTAACCATGAATCACCCGGCCTACCAGCCTGTGACCTCGAACAGCCCCAGATAGCGCCATACAGCATCACTACAGCCTACTTTTTAACTATTCCCATCACCTTCTTCATTATCTGCATCATCCTGGTGTACAGGTTGGGCAACGAGTGAATCTCTTCTGCTTTTACTGTATCTAACTCCTTCTGTGGTGTCTCATTTTAACGGCCTTACTGTTTTTTATGTAGCATGTCCAAGTCCTTCGGGCAGAGTTTTCAAGTCCTCAAGTCTAATGGGAATCTAGCTGTGAAAGTCTTCTGCTGCTGGGACTTTAAAGTCAGCAAGAAGATGTCTGTGAGGCTGCAGTCGGAGAAAATCAGCACTCAGCTCAAAGTAGGCAAACATTTGAATATTCTCACCTCCCTCATGAAAGTGTGGAACTAGTCTTGCAAAAGGTGATTCCTCTATATAATATCTTTCCTTGTGGAGCAAAGATGATAGCCTCCTTTTGAAAACAGTAACCATACTTTACTTTATAAAATATGAGTAAAGCAGCTTCACAATTGATGTGCCTTTATGATAAGTGAAAGAACCTCCGGGTAGCCAAATCTCCGGAGTTTTTCAGGAGATTTCTGTATATGTGAAAAGGGTTTATGATTAGACCTTTGCTTACTCATACTACAATCACGCTATATCTCTTTGTGCAAGACTGGTTCTCACACAGGAAGATACATTTCACACCCCATGTGACTCTTCAGGGGCATTTTAAAGTAGGTCAAGATTACAAACGTCTTCTCACAGGAACTGTTGTCTGAGATGATCAGGGGAGAAGATGGAAAGAGCTGCATGCAGCGATTCTGCCACCTCACAGTGCATCTGGTGGCGTGGATGATTTGTCTGGCCAGCATCTCTCTGGGCACCGCGGCAGTCCATTTCCTGTCAGAGGTTAGAGAAAAATGGACAAGAACACCTGCAGCCAGACGTGACATGTTTTATGCACATGCGAGCAGCTACTGGGGCATTTTCTCAAGACTTTACCACAGAAATAACTCTGAAGCTCCTTCCTACTGCAGTTCAAGAACTTCTGCTTTTTGTTTCCTGGAAGATGTTTTTTTACTGTTTCACACTGATGAGTTTACAAAACTATTATGCATGACAATTTCTCAGAAAAATTCAGTAGGGTGTTGTAGGAAGAATCTAAGTATGTTCCTGCACTTTTAACATCACCAACATCCCAATATTTGTCCTTCACAGAACGCCATTAAGCAGAAATCTTTCGAAGACATCGAGCTGCTGCTCCTGTCGGCGGTGGTGTCAGGCGTCAACCTGCTGCTCCCCGGCCTCTTCAACCTGTGCGCTTGGATAGAGATGCATGACTCACCCAGTGTCCGAGTCTATGTCTCCATCTTCAGGTGAGTAGGAGAATTACAAAAGCCCAGATAGACAAAATAATCATCTTTAAAGCTCCTTCGAGGAGTTTACTGGTCATGAAACAGACCAATAACAATATGGCTACCTGTTAAATAATATATATATTTTAAAATCCCTATGAGTGATTCACTGGACTGATATAACGATCAGATTTTTTTGGGCAGAAGAAACTTCTTACAAATGTACAGTACAAGATTGCCAAAGACATACAACTTTGTCCACATGGAGGCGCCATCATCAACACAATCTTCCTCACAGTAACTGTAAATGGAGATCATTTAAACAGGATTTTGGAAAGCATAGCTAGACTTGTCTAATCAGAGGGCACAATAACTTCGCCAAAACGCTCTCATTTACTGATAAAATAAGACCTATCTATCACAAATGGTGATACAATTCTTTCATCTGGACTAAATACTATGCTCGATGGTAAACAGATTTGCTTCATTTGTATAGAAGAGCTTGTTTTTGGCTTGATAAGTTTTTCAATTGATCAAGAAGTAAACATAATTCTTCATGGCTTCAAGACTCTTAACATATTTGTCAAATCACCAAGGTGACAATTCAAAGAGCATCCATACAGAATACTGTAGAAAACAACACAATAAATCAATCAAAGTGAAATAAACACAACGTGGAAAACCCAAAGCTTGATAACACAAAAGCTTAAATGTTTGTGAGAAAAATACCTCAACCAAACTGTCCCAACTGGTGTGGATTAGAGGTATTAATCAATGTTCTTTTTACCTTTTTAGTATTACTTATGAAATATGATTGTATGTGTTGTTATCCACTAGAAAATCTCTTCATTATGTTCTCAGGAACTTGTTGTTGAAGGTCAGTATTGTTTCCGTGTTGTGTTTCCGCTGGCTGGGCAGAATTGCTGTGGAACCAGAAAATCTACATCTACAGGTGATTATCCCTCTCATATTTGAACTTCTTGTAATTACAGTTGGGGGGGGGGGTAACAATGAACTGTGCGACCCAAATGATGATCCAACACACGTTATGTTTAGTTGTGATTTTATCAGATGTGTCTGTTGTCCTGCAGTGTTGGGAGAGTTTTGTTGGGCAGGAGCTGTATCGCTTACTCCTCATGGACTTTATCTTCACTGTGCTTTACACGTTTTTGGGAGAATTCCTGTGGAGGCAAGTTCCCCCCCCCACAGATGATGTCACTTTAAAAAACACTCACTGAATGTTAATCTACATGCCTGCATCTTCTTTCTGCAGGCTATTTTCAAAGCACGTCCTGAAAAAGAATAGAAAGCCGGTGTTTGACATTGCGCGTAATGTCCTTGAGCTCATATATGGACAAACCTTAACTTGGTAATTATAGACTATACTTTAAAAATATTTAAATTGTACTTTTTCTCTCTTTGTATTTCCGTCTGTAACTTTGTGTTTTTGCTGCTGCCTGTCTTGGCCAGGTCTCCTTGAAAAGAGGTTTTTAATCTCAATGGGACCAATCTAGTTAAATAAAATTAAAAATGTTTCAAGAAAAGTAAGGAAACATTCATGTTTGTCTTCCAGGCTCGGGGTGCTGTTTGCTCCACTCCTTCCAACGGTCCAGATCATCAAACTGTTCGTTCTCTTTTACATGAAGAAGGTCGGCACATCAGCAGTCGTTGTTTTCCACATCCTGAAGTGTGTCTACTCAGATCTTCAATGATACCTTTCTTTGTCCCCTTTCTTTACCAGACGAGCCTGCTTCTCAACTGTCAGTCCTCCAGAAAGCCCTGGAGGGCCAGCCAGATGACAACGCTTTTCATCTCTCTTTTGTGTTTCCCTTCATTTCTCGGAGCTGCCGTGTCTGTCACTTACGCAATTTGGACGTGAGTGCAACAAACAACCCCTCTCTCTTTAATGACCATGATCCTCACACGCAGTTTCGACACTGAGAGACATTTGTGAATTTGAAGAATCTCAGTCTCTCCATAGCGTCACTAATTGGTACAGGTGCAGCTTAAAATTATTTGAATATCATAGAAAAGTTCATTTTCTTTCTTTCTGCTGGCCGATCAGGCACAGTGATACCATGGTCAGCAAATGTGACCCTGGTAGTTTTGGTACTGTGTTTGTCCTGCTGGAAAAGGAAATCAACGTCTCCTTAAAGCTTGTCAGTAGACAGACACATGAAGTGCTCGATAGAATCTGCTGGTAGCAGTTGACATGGCAACCCAAATCTACCGGTACTTGGGATTGCTGACCATGCTATAACTGTGCTTGATTGGCCAGCCAACTAGCATGACCTGAACCCCATAGACACTCTCTCAAGGGGAAGATGAGACAAGCTGAAGGCCACTATCAAAGCAACCTGGGTTTCCATAACACCTGAGCACACAGGCGTGCCAAAGTGAACTCAATTTTCGGAAGGGTCAACATTTCTGTATTATACTGTGAATCATTTGATCGATTGGTCTGGTGAAATATTCTAATATTTTGAGATCTTATTTTCCTGAGCTCTAAGTCAAAAAAAAGAAAATGGCAAGAAAAAAAAGGACTTTTCCACGATATTTTTTTTGAGCAGCACGTGTAAATCTAGACAACTTCTGCACTTAATTCTCAACAGCTGGTAGAAGGGGGAGAGGTTACAATGATAACTCCACAAGCAAAAGATTTTCCAACAAATGTAGCCTTTAATGTATTTCCTGTTAGTTTCAAGTTTTACATTTACAGTGATGGGAAAATGAAATTGTATGTTTCTCACACATTTTGTTTCCCTAAGAAAATGAACTTAACAAGGCTGCAAGGCTCTAGTTAGCTTAACTTAGCGTAGCTTGTCGATCTTCTCATCAAACTCGGTAATAAAGCTAATACTGTTAGTGTATTTTCTTACTTCTCAAACTTTCCTTTGAAAGATGTTTGTGAGAAACTAGTATGAATGGACTTGAGGGCTATGCAGTGGAATGCAGTGTTGATTCTGCTCTTTCTATAGGTAGCTAGATGATTAGAATGCGTAGAAACTCGTACTTAATTCCCATTTAAGTTCAGAGTTATGAGCGGTAACAGTGTTTCTGTTAACTAACTTTATGTTCCAAATCCCTCTGTTGGTCTCAGGACTAAACCCTCGTCAGAGTGCGGCCCTTTCAGGAATCTCACCACCATGTACCAGTCGGGGCAGCTGTGGGCTCGGGAGCTGGAGAGCTCCCACCCCATCCTGTCGTGGATCAGCTGGGCCTACAACTCTCTGCTGGAGAACCCGCTGGTGTTGTTCCTCGCCACCGGAGTATTACTGTAAACACGATCAAAAATGAGTCTTACAGGAGATGACCCATTTTTAATGTCATATTTGCTGTTTTGATTGTATTTAGCTTTTGTATTATAGTGTTGACAGAATGCCTATTCTGAATGATTTGCGGCCTTTGGATACTTGAATACTGTTGATGCACTTTGAATTTCAACTTATCTCTTATGCTTTCTCTCTCTTTTTTTCAGAATGGTGATATACTTTCAAGCTCAAGTTGTTGATGGCCAAAAAAGAATCATCAGTCGGTTAGAAAAGCAAATTGAAAATGTAAGCGTAGTGAAACATTTTCTCAACTAAAGTATTTTTGATCATAAAGCAAGTTCTAAAAAAAGGAGTTTCGACCAGCTAGAGTAAAAATGTATCGGTTGATACTTCAGTGAATTGATCATCTATCCAATTGCTTTTAATATTGCTCTTAATAATATCAAATTGTATGTTGTAATGTATGTTTCTTCATCCATACACAGGAGGGTAAGGACAAAAAGTTCCTCATCACCAAATTGCAAGGTCTTTCTGAACAGAGCAGTCTGGTTTCCCCACATCGTTAAGGTGAATAATCCCAGTGCAGTTTTTTCTTTGTGGGTGAAACTTATTTGCATACTCAGTTTTTGACCTTGGCCCGTATTCACCAACATCCAGAGAATACTCTGAGGGCTCTGAACCTAGCTTTTTTTTTTCTTTTTTTAAACTTGGAATCCTAGCTGAAGAGTGATGGACCCGGCCACCCACTTGGAAGATTAATAGCCTTCGTACATGGGGCGTGACCTAACCGCTAGGCCATCTGTGCGCCTAGGTACAGAAACATTTTAATCTTAGGTAGCTGGTGTGGTTGACCCTGTTGCTAGGTATGACACATTCTTCCAAAAGCTGTGATTGGTTGATCAAAAAATGGGAAGAAAACGTTTTGATCTTAATGATAATGAGTATAGAAATCTAGTCAGACATTCTGTAAAATAAATACTCTTTTTATGTAATAAACATCTGCGCTCCATTAATTGTAAGCTATACTTCAAGAGTAAAGCTTGATCAGCTCATAGTGACGTCAGCTGATAGGTAGCATCTGTGGAGGGATCCACATGCATGTCTCACTTTGCACTGATGAAAGTCCAAAATGGACAGAAATGTCTGCATAAATAAATTTGATCTCTTCATTAAGAACATTCCCAACCATCGGTCTGTACTCCTTTTGTTCTCACGATTCCATTAATTTCGCAAGTAGGAGCATCTCTTTGTAGGTAGGAAGCTCGTTGAATACAGCCCCTTATTTATTTCAGAGATTTGTCTCTTTTGCCCTACAGCCTGTGGCTGAACAACATTCACAACATACTGGACAAATCTGGAGACATCTTCACCTTGATATTGTGTGCTCAACTGATTGTCAACTCTTATCAGAAAGGTCACTCAATACGGTGCAACGACAGAAGCCAAATCAAAACCAATTAACATAAAAAGAAAGTTTCATTATGTTTAGTACAGGATGAACACAAATCTGTTTATTATATCTATTTAAATGTAAAGCTCCTGAACTATGTCAGGGTGTCTATTGTGTGAAGATATTTTTAAATGAATGACTTTATGAACTATGATGTATTTAAAGACAAAATAAATGTGTGATGTAATGAAGGATACCTTCAGTTTGTTATTTTCCATTTTGACAGTAACAGTCCCTCCTTATCTGGGAAATCCTTAAGTATTACTTCATGTCATAAATATGAAAGAGAAACTTTAGTTACAGTACTTTATTCACATTTTACATTTTATTTATCCGATGCTTCCTGCAAAATGAGCTGGCTTCATGGCATGAACGTGATTTCAAAATGTTCTGGATAAACTTAAATCACACATGCAAGACATGCTGATACCACCTACACTTAAATACCAGCGCCGCCTTGTCACAGTGTCACATGTTTCCCCCTCGGGACACTTTCCAGGGGAATTTGTGCGCTAATAATAGTCTTAATTATTTGCGCAACGCACAAGAATGAAGGAAAAAATATGTTTTTACTTTGTACGATCGAACAGATAATTTTCAACAGGATGATACATGCACGCTGAGAATAAATATGATATGACATATCATGTCAGTCTGTTGATTTGCTACAGTAGGCATATTTCATCAAAATGAAGCGCAGGACATTGAACTCCCTTTTGTTCAGACCTGTAACCTCCATGTTTGGTGGACACAAATCTGGAAAACAGGCCTACCTAGCTATTTCACTTGTTAAATTAAAAATTTAATTCAAACACTGTTTTGTAACCAAACCATGTTATCACACGTATACTTTAAAAATGACAAATCAGAACAACAGCTGGAAACCTGATCGACATTCTTGCTCTGCATTTCAAAACAGCCTGCTTTTAAACAGCAGGCAATTACAGCATTCTTTCGTTTGACGAACTTGTTCTTTCTTAAGAAGGGACAATCTTCTGAAGAAAAACACGAGTAGGAGGATATTTTTCTTGTGACAGAGCCAGGATGCTTTTTCAAGCTTCATAAGAGGAGGTGACTTTTTACTCTTGAGTCAGTTTTACTTGGAACTACAGGTTATTGACATCCTTTCTCTGGTGAGTTAGAACTTTCTTAATTTTTTACATTTTCAGCCAAAAATCAAGGTGTCATTTTACATATTGAAAAGGCACCATGCATTAGAGTCTTTAGATTTAGATTTTTACTTTATTGATTCCCGCAAGGGGGAAATTGTTTTTACACTCTGTTAATCATGCAACACACACACAGGCTGAAATATGCACATGCACAAACATGATCCTATGGACATGCACTAATGGAGGGATGTCAGAGTGACAGAGCTGGGGAGGGGTTTGGTGCCTTGCTCAAGTGCACCTCGGCAGTGCTCAGGAAGTGATCTAGCACCTCTCCAGCTACCAGACCAACTTCCAGATTTGGTCCACACCGGGACTTGAACCGGCGACCCTACAGACTGAGCTAAAGCCGCCCCGTTCACAACGTGTTTAGAACACTCTCATGTTGTCTTTTTCTTTAAAAAAAACATGTTCATCCTTTTGTAATCAAGTAACAGCCTTCCCTCTTTGCACTATGTTAAATGAAACCCATCTCATGTTCCCTCCAGATAACATGGAAGTGAAAACGGCATCAAAAAGACGAGTTTACATCAGTCTGCCAAAGAAATACTTTGCTGCTCTTGCTGAAAAATATGAACTGGTAAATCATTTCTCTCATTTACAAGGAGCATCACTGAATTGCATCTTTCTGACTTAAACTCTAATATGCTGGGGCGATGGTGGCCCCGGTGGTGCTGGTTCAAATCCAACCTGTGGCTCCTCTCCAGCATGTCATTCCCTCCTCTCTTTCTCCCTGATTTCCGACTCTATCCACTGTCCTGTCTCTCTAATAAAGGCACAAAATGCACAAAAATAAAATCTTTAAAAAAAACAACAACTACAATACGCTCATTTAATTAACTTAATACATTTTCTATCATTCAACACTCATCAGGATCATGGACTGGTGATAAAAGGGCTGAATCCTTATGTGAATGAAGGATATATACGAGCTTACTTCAGAGACTGGGGCACGGTTACTGCGTGTAAGGTGAGGACTGAAGAACTGCTCACATGTTTTAGAACTGATGGAGTATCAACTGTATCGAATTAAATCTGTTGGGTGGATTCCAGATTAAGAAGAGCACAAACTCGACGGAGAGTAAAACGGTGGCGTATGTGAGGTTTTCCACAGAGGATGAAGCCGACATGGCCGAGTGGTCTGGTCCTCACTACATAGGAGGGGACGTGGAAGTGAGACGAGTTGTAAGTCCAAAGGTGAGTGTAACGCCTCTAATCTTCTGTTGGTGCTTTTTTTGATTTGAAAAAATGTGCATACTGCGTCTGCATCAGCTGACTGTAACACACCTGTGTTTCAGATGGAAGAGGATGCAGCGGAGGAGCTCGCTGCAGTCGTTTCCAATAAGCCCCGCCCACGACGTTCAATGGGTTTGGGCTACATACTGGGGGATGCTCAGTGGTTAGATGAGGCTGAGTAATAATTGATTAGTGATTTGTTTCCACACAAACTTAAGTATACGAATGCTTCGTCTATACCATGTGGTAAAATGTTTATAGCCTTGTTAGATTTTTTTTTTCTGGCTGATTTTATGTGATGGCAAATAAACATGTTGCACTCTCTCATCCTAATCCTGTGATCTTTAAAATAAACAGTTTGGCTTATACACAGTAGATATCATGTGCTACTGTAGTGCTAAATTCTATTTGAAGCATCCATTGCTTTGGCTATCCTTGCAGATCTTCAATGTAGTTTTCTTCATCTTTGACTTGGTGGTGTTGTTCTTGTTTGAAGCCTTTTGTCTGGTTCAATCTGCCTGTAACTTGTTTTTTTTTACTTCTTGTGTGTGACACAGAAAGTGTATTTAAAAAAAACATACCAATAAAGTTGATTCCACTTCTGATTTAAAGTCTGTCAAGGACATGGGTGTATAGCTGTAATGTTCAATTTTCCTTTCAAGCCACTAATGTTGAATGCAATATAATTCAACGTTAGGCTAATAAATCACATGGTGCTCTTCGTAATGATTTGGAACATTGAGTTGTGAATGGTAAACAAATAAATGGTTTCAGCTTCAGTTAACCCTGTACTGAACCAGGCCTGAACTCGCAATGAAACAGTTTCATATGGATGGGTGAGTGAGGAGGAAGACAAGGCCCTGATGGTTTTGTTTGGGTTGGAAATAAGTACAGTTTGACGACAGTAACATTAAAACTACTGCAACTCATTCAAAGAGAATCTGACTGTATAACTCTCGCCTCCAGTGGTCCAAATGACCAGTGTCAAGTACAAAGGGGTTGGTAATTTTAACGTTAGGCCTATACTCTCTGTCTTCAAACTACGTTTTCTCCCATCTAAACAAAATATTAAATGCGTTGTCTCCCTCCTCACTCCATCACGACAATAATAAACTGTAACACTCAGCGCCCCTACAGCAGTTCTGTTTAACATCTGCAAATGTTTTCATTTTGTCTTTGTGTCTTTTAATTATTTACAGCGTGTTTGGTGTAAATGCAGTTTTGGTTTTATACAGCATGTTTCTGTAATTTGCAGCAAGCTTCAGTGCAGCATTTGCTTTTGAATAATCATCTCTTAACTATATGCATGTTTTCCCTAATGTAAGTATTTAAATCATTTGATCTCTTCAGTAACGGTATTAGCCTTCATTTAAAATATGAGAAAAGTACGCTTATTGTTACCAACTTTGGCCTCTGAAAACGATTACAGTTTGTAGCAAAATGACAAACCATAGTCTACTAGAAGACACACTGTAGGCCTAAATGTAGCCTACTGTAAGTGGATTTATTTGGAGGGAAAAACTTGGAAAACCTAGACAATTATAAGTGATGTAAAAATAAATGAAAATAAAGTACTCTGCTATTTTTTGTACTAAAAAAATATTATTAGACTAAACCATAGACTGTTAAAATGAATGGCTAAACTTTGCTGTTACTTCTGCGCAAGTCCTCGGGGGCGGCGCTGATGACGTCACATGAAGAATAGCCAATCCCCACGCAAAGCGCCAAGTTTCTGTCACAGCGTCAAAACATGGCGGAGAGGGAGGCAGAAGTTGGATTCAAAAAGGTAAGAAGATTCATATCGCTGTTTACAGTTATTCGCTACCCCACATAGTCAAATTAGAACGAGTACTAACTTTTTTTTAGTTTTTTTACCTGAATAAGACTTCCGGTAATCATTCACGAAATCGGAGCAGTGTTGCTGATTCGTCTGTCAGGCGTCTAAACAATAGACTTACACATTTCAGAAATGTTTTCTGTACATTATATGTACGCCGAATTAAAGAGCGGAAGCGAGTGATTAATACAAGGTCCCTCTAGCCTGGGATAACACAAACTATGTTTCGTCTCTTCACTAGAGCCCTTTAATTTGAACTTTTCCAGTAGTAGTTTGGTTCTAAACAACTCTTCCGCAGGATGCAGTCAAAGTAGTGATAGGTATTGAAACCAATGAGAGTCTTTTAAGAGTATAACTGTTTTTATATCCACTGTTTGATTCATGAGTTCTCTGTTAACTAACTTCTTTTCTCCTCATTTCCAGGAAACAGTAAGCAAACTGTTGTCAAGTTTCTTCAAGGAAGAAAAAACCAAACGTGAGCTGCATAGTTAATGTTTTTATCGACTATCTTCCCTAAAAGTGTTTGGTGTTTTATTCTTGATTCTAAATAACATATGTTGCTTACAGTAAGTGGTGACGCTGCACTGCTCATGGCAGAGATGCTCAGAGTGTTTGTTCAAGGTATGGTGTCCTGTTGGGTTCAGTTGGATACAGATTGCCAGATGATGAAACTGAATGTTATTCTGTAATGAATGTACTCTCTCTTTTTCAGAGGCTGCTGTGCGATCACAAAAACAAGCTGAATCTGAGGACTGTGACCAAGTTGACATCGAGCACTTTGAAAAGATCTTACCTCAGCTGGTGCGTAGCTCAACTCAGCAGTGGTTTTAATGTTTTGATTCAGGATCCATAAGATCTAGTTATTTGATTCATGCAGGTGCTTTTCTTTTTGCTTATTTAATGGAAATCTTGTCCTTTGATACACAGTTCTGTGAATTAGACCAGCAGGAGCAGCTCCTGAATTTTGTTTGTTTGTGATATTTAGTCTGGATCCTTCAAACTATACTTAGTGATTACCTTTGCAGCTTAAATGCAGTTTTATAATGTTTTTTACCTGCTCCCTTTATTACATGTGATCATAGCAATTAATGGGCTGAACATTTGATCACTGCCTTCTTGTTTTTGAGGCATTATTTTTTGTTTTTTGTTCACAGCAGCATTTCTGTAATGCAGACTTGATCCCTAGAGGTGTAATTAAAAAATAAAACCTAAACACTTTTCCTGAAATCTGATGCTGGTCCAGCTTATACTAAAAGTGTTTTGTTTCTCAGCTGTTTACCACTATTACAAAAAAGTTTCCAGTCAATGTTTAATATTGACCTCGGTGTTTCATCTCTCTTCCAATGCAGCTGCTGGACTTCTAGCACGTTGATGCCACTAGAGGGAGCCAGAGTGTTGCCTTCAGTCCTTCTCGGTTCCTGCGTCTCCAATTGAAGCTTTACTGATGTTTACATGTTCTGTATAACTGCCATTTCATTGACACTTAAATGTGTTCTAACATTAAGATTCTCATTCTGTGTTTATTGGAGTAGTTTGATTTTAAGTGGAAAGCGGCAGTGCTGTCCGCACGCCTCCTTGCCACCACCAATAAGGCCCACCTGTGCTTCTATGTGCAACAACAGGTGCTTCCAGCATGCTCCATGGCGCCCTTCATCAAAGCCTCCTGGAGCAGTTGGAAGCAATTAGAGTAATAAGGGGAGCAGCCAGTCCCTTAGATGATGACAAGTGCCAGGAAAAAAGGAGTACCCCCTCCGGCCACTTTGAAGTTCCCTTTTGCTGTCCTGCGATGTTTAGTTAGAGGTGGGGGGAAGGGCAAAGGGGACCTCTGGCACAGGGGGAAAGTTGAATGGGAGTGTGCGTGCACGAATGTGTGCATGTGTTAGCCAAACACGGCCTGAGACCACACGCATAGATATTCTGTTTGAAAGGAAACATAACAAAACACATTGGAACATGGTCCAAGAAGAGCAGGGTGTAATTCTGAAGGTAAATAAACAAAAGAGGCGAGTAGTAGAGGTGCTTTCTCTCCTTTCATCACAGTAGAGGGGGAAGTAAGGCGTGCAAGGGAGAGGGTAATGTGGGGTTTTTCTAACCGAGTGCCTCTGATAGTTTTCCACCAGTGGTCTATTTCACCGTGTCTTCGCCGTGAGTCAGCATAGCTGTACAACACCTCACACTATTTATTTGTGTGGCTCTTGGGTGACTCACTACGCTCGCAAACGCCGCCTAAAATACAGCTGGAAGCAACTTAGGCTAAAGTCAAGAGTCCAGGCTCAGAAAGGTGCTCAAGGACAGAGCACCTGGAATTTGACCCAGCACCTTTTTAAGTAGGGCCCAGACTGGATTTGTGTTTCCCAGGAGCCACATGCACAGCAGGCTTTTAGGAGAAGGTGTGTTTTGGTTGAGCGATGTTTAGTTTAATGATGCTATGAAGAAAACTGGCACAAAAGAAATCTTGTGAAGGTAAAGAATTATTCAGTTAGTAATCAAAATAATTCATAGCAGCACGTCCTGCCCTTTGAGACAATACATGCAACCAAATGTTTTTTTTTGCTAAAATACACCTTTACTTTTTACCATGGTAACAAATCTGTAATAGGTTATGGTTTTGGGAATAGAAGATGTAATGTTTCTGTTGGTTTTGATAAAATGTGTCATCTCCAAATGTCAGTCCTGAAGGATGAAATGAAAACAGTTATTCTGTTGGAGATCGCACAGACAGTCCCCCCCCCCCCCCCCTCCTAGTATGAGTTGTTGGAAGGACTCTGTATTGGCAAAGTATTACACTACCGTACAACTTTTTCTGCTTATGCATCTTAGTGGAACAAATTACATCTGAAGGCAGTATTATTAAACATACGAAAGCAGTTAGGACAAGAATGAGGAGGGGCATTGAAGAGAGTAATGAGTTAAAGCTTTTCTTGATCATACATTAAAGGCAGGGAGTGTCGACAGCCGGTCCAGACGCTTTGGAGAAGCTCTCGAGTGAGAAGCTTTTCCCAGGAGACGGAGACTGATCCGTCTGCAGCCTTCTGGCTGCTCTGTGCACATGGGAGAAGGCCGTCGATGCTTGAAGTCTGATTGAAGCCAATATCAATACAGATCTTATTGATGCTCCACTGACAGCAATGGGATTTTGGATTGATTATTTGTAAATAAAATGGCTATAACCTTTATTATTACTGGTTGGATGAAGTTTTGTTGCTGCAAAGCCTTCCCCCTTTTTGGGAAGTTTGTATACTTGGTAAGTTTTTCCTTAAATTGCACCATTATGATGAATTAGAATTAAAGCCTAAAGCCAGTCATCATATCTGTAAGACCAGTTCTCATTAAACTTGTATTCCAATATGAATGGAGTCCTACAACTCTGCAGAGGTCTGATCACGTAGTGTGGTAACGGTGACAATATTAGTGGTTTATGTTGCTGTAACTCTGGGATGGAGTCGTCTGCATTTGTCTTGAGAGTCCCTGTAAGGGTATGTTAGGATTATGTCTGATTTGATCCCTTAGTTCTCCACTTGTCTGTGTGTCTTTATTCCCTCTTTCTGTTACACAGATTCCCCCATCTCTCCAACTTTCTGTCATTTTATAAAACTCCTTTCTTCTCAAGCCCAAACAAGGGTTCTGTCTCAGGCAAGTGATGATAATATATCCATTTCCCCGTCTGTTGGCCTCTCTGAGATTACAGTTTAAACATCGAAGCAGAGAAAAAAAGTACACATGCTACATCAAATTTATAGTTTTAATAGGGCACATGAAGAATACACTCTTAACACAAATGTGTACATAAACATTTATTGTACCGCATAAATCATTTTCATAGGTGGTGCTGCAAGAGCCATCTCTTTGTAACAGGACTTGTAGATTTGAACCGAGGTAGAAAATGTGGTTGGAAGTTGACACTTTCATAATTCCTGCAAAGAAAGGGGATGACAGGAAATCTTAATCCACAAAGAAGCCACAGGTGTCATTTTCCATAAGTGTTATGTTTACCCCCATCACTTCAATTACACATGTTAGTGAGTCCTTCCATAATACATATGTGATGGCATGCATCTCCTCTCAGATGTTTGTGTGCATGCATGTGCTTGCATGCATGTGCTTGATCTGGGGCTGCGATGCATTAGTGCTCAGGAGACAGGAGGCCCTTGTGGCCCCCTCATGGGCATGGAGCTGTCTAACCATAGAGGAATGCTACAGGGGATGCAGAGCGAGTACATTCCTCTGAGATGCTCCACACGCAACTCACACACATGAAAAGTTACAAACATTTACAGCCCTGTCGAGAACACACAAACAAAACACTGTTGTGGGCATTTGGTGTCCATAAGTTTTACAGACGGCTTGTGTGAGTGGAGAGAATGCAAATACAGCGGCAGCATCCCTGTTGACTGTGTATGCTGCTGTGACATGCGGGTTGCCTGGAGGCCCCTTGCTTCTCTGAGGGGCCTGGGGTCCTCAGGCTAAGCTTTGTTAAGGAGCCACGGGGCCCACGCCGGCGATGATTAGAACATACCTGGCAGTTTGAGCCACTTGGGCGCTCCGCTGGGATCACTCCTAACTGGTTGTGGCGCTTGGCTGTTAGTCCGAGGCTGAAGATGGTCTGCTGCTGTGCTCCGTGTATCGGCCGGGGCTTTGGTAGCCGCAGGGGGCGGAAAGGACTCTTCCGGAACCATTGAGGTGGATGATAAGGTCAAAGACCTTGGCATGCAGCTGAAGAGGGAAAAGGGTACAAGAGAGATGTACAATTAGGCCCACAGCTGGGCTATTTCTGGATCTCTGTACTACAACCTTAACAGCATTACCCTCCTTTTCTACCCCAAGTCCCCTCCACTCTATCTCTCCACCTGCCTCCTCTGTGTGGTGGCCTACATGGTCAAGGAAAATGCAATAACAACTCAGTAATCCCCTTACATAACTCTGCAACTAAACAAGACTGTTCAATTAGTTTCTCGTCTAAAAATAAAGTAGCACTTTGTTCCAGGTGACGTCAAAAGGGTGTGTGTGTGTGTGTGTGTGTGTGTGTGTGTGTGTGTGTGTGTGTGTGTGTGTGTGTGTGTGTGTGTGTGTGTGTGGGGAGGAGAGGTGGAACCGTACCACTAAAAGACCCGCCAAGACCCGCCTGTAGCGGAGGTCAGCAGAGCGCTCTATTTATAGGTCAGATCAAAAGCAATGATATAAAAATACTCCAGCACCGACCCACAATAGATCTGTCAGAGAGGCTTAGAGAGGCCGTGAACCTGAAGGTCACGCACTCCAAATGATGAAAGGCCCGATGTTTGATGATATTTAAAAAAGGAGCAAGTAATGACCAAAATCTCTTTATCTGGTGGCAGGTGGCACAGTGTGAGCTTGGCCTTTGTTAGACTTGTTAACGGACTTCATCAGCAGGCATGTGAAGCTCTCTGCGGCTGGCTAATATTCACTGCATGCAGACTGTTGGGGTAAAAGTGGTCAACTGGACCGACTTATGACAAATTGACAAAGAGATGACAGGGATCAGGCTTTGGATTGTCAGGCATAAGAGTGGCTTTCCTGTTATATCAAGATTTAAAACAAATCTCTAGTGGAAGGGAGCAAAATCGTAAACAAGAGTTCAAGGTACGTTCACATTTTTTTTCACATTGGTTCAAACAAGTCTGTTCAAAGTCTCCTCCACGAGTCCAGAGGCCAACGTGTTGACTGTCCTCACAGTGGTCAGGGGCACCGGAACTCTAAATTAGCCCGGCAAGTAAACAGGACAGCTTTCATGTGGACAAGGGTTCATGTCAGATTGCAGGAGAGGTCAGGATGTAAGGGCCAGAGGTCAGGAGGCAGTGTTGGTCCTTGTCTTTAACAGCTTCCTGTCTGCTGTGTTGTGAAAAGCTGAAGTGTAATCTCTTGTGATGCAGGTTCAAAGCAGAAGGATTGCCTCACTCTCTGATACAGGTATGGAACTCTTCACTCCACGTGTACTTGGTCACATTACAACCACTGACCTATTAATACTTGCTGCGTTAAATGAGCATTGGACAAAGGCTCTGTGTGGCGACTGAAGACGTTCTAGCATGGCTAGATGGTTGGCTATGTAAATCTTTTGGTCCCTTGGTGGGCATGTCAGTAACTGGTCGTTCCAACCCTTTGATCTACATGAAAGTAGAGCAAAACTCCTGAAAATTACCAAGAAGTTTTGGGGTGATTTATTTCCTGAAGGCCCTTTATCATTCTTCTATCATTTTCAGGTGAGCCAAAAACGCATCACGACTATGACGTTTATGTCAAATGACTTGTGAATGACACACAAAATGGTGCACAAAATAAGTTTACTACAAGTTTTTAGCCCACTTTATGTCCTTCTCCACTTGTCCGTTGATACTGGGAATATGTCTCATTACACATAGCACTGATGTAAAGGAAAAAACACTTCCATTATGAAGTTGGGCTCTGCCACTTTATCCACAATCTTGGAACCAACCTGTTCCAGTTGCTTTTTATTTTGATTGGGGAAATAGCAATAAAAACTAG